TGGAAACTCTGGTTGGTTCAAAATATGGCAGCCAGGTTGGTTACAGGAACATCCAGGAGTGAGCATATTATACCCATTCTAAAGTCACTCCCCTGGCTGTGAATTGGTTTCTGGGCATAGTTCAAAGTTTTGTTTTTGAAATTTAAAGCCCTACATGGTCCTGGTCCTGGTTAGACTCCCTTCTTCCATACAGTACATCCTGCACACTTAAGTCCTCTGGGGGGTGACTACTTCAGAAGACAGAATGCGATCGTCACCCAGAGGACCCCCCTTTTTATCAGCCACCCCACAACTGTGGTATGACCTTCCAGAAGATATCCAACAGCTAATGAGCTGGGTTGTTGTAGGTTTTTTTGGACTATATGGCCGTGTTCTAGAGCAGTGGTTCTCAACCTGGGGTCCCCAGATGTTTTTGGCCTTCAACTCCCAGAAATCCTAACAGCTGGTAAACTGGCTGGGATTTCTGGGAGTTGTAGGCCAAAAACACCTGGGGACCCCAGGTTGAGAACCACTGTTCTAGAGGCATTCTCTCCTGACATTTCACCTGCATCTATGGCAAGCATTCTCAAAGGTTGTGAGGTCTGTTTCCTATTTCCAACAGACCTCACTACCTCTGAGGATGCTTGCCATAGATGCAGGTGAAATGTCAGGAGAGAATGCATCTAGAACATGGCCATATAGCCCGAAAAAACCTACAACAACCCAGTGATTCTGGCCATGAAAGCCTTCAACAATACAGCTAATTAACTATCAGAATTTAAAACCCAACTGAAGACCTTTATCTTCTGGCAGGTCTACCCAGTTACTTTTAATCATTAGTTTTAAAATTGCGTCTTGTAGAATCATAGAATCATAGAATCATAGAGTTGGAAGAGACCTCATGGGCCATCCAGTCCAACCCCCTGCCAAGAAGCAGGAACATCACATTCAAATAACCCCCAACAGATGGCCATCCAGCCTCTGTTTAAAAGCTTCCAAAGAAGGAGCCTCCACCACGCTCTGGGGCAGAGAGTTCCACTGCTGAACGGCTCTCACAGTCAGGAAGTTCTGTGAGAGCCGTTCAGCAGTGGAACTTGTAGAAACGCGATAATGACCAGGCGGGAAGCAGGGCGTAGAAGTGAATGATGATGACCTCTTTATTGTTCCCTAAGCAAAGCTTATATAGGTTTTTGTGCTCTTTAGCAAAGTCTGCATAGCAACAGTGGGGGATTACATAATTGTCAAGTGATTGGTTGGACTCTCAAGGGTGAGGTAATCTGTAGGTAAGGTCAGCAACAGGTGATGTCATCCTTCCTGTCTTCAAGGGTAGTGTCCATACATGGTCAGTTGGTTAGGAACAGTGTATGCATCTGGGGAGGGCGGCCTGCCTCCAGTCCCAGGTCATGATGCCCTGTATACTTAGCCAGAATGGTGTGGAGCATAAGTGTCAGAGGACTGGAATCTGCCATGTTTCCCTGGAGGTATGGTGTGCCAGTCCCCCCTGGTGGTACATTGCCATTCCTGTACCTCTGCACTAGGGACACAATGGTGTCTCTCTTGCATAAGGGACATTAATAATGATAATGTCCCTTCAGGAACTCTCTGCCCCAGAGTGTGGTGGAGGCTCCTTCTTTGGAAGCTTTTAAACAGAGGCTGTGTTCACTATATTTTAATATTTGTTCTGTTTTATTTAATATATGTATTTGTTCTATGTTATTTAATGTATTTATTTTACATAATGATTATGTGTTTTAGTGGTGTTATAACCTACCTCAATCTACGAGGAGAGGCGAGTAAGAAATATTATTATTATTATTATTACAAGATGAAAATATCAAGACAATTTTAATACTCCTGTGACTATTTCTTTTAAAGATAAGGTGATGGGGTAATTCAATCCCATTAACAACAGTACACACAAACTTAATTTTGGATGTATTTCCATTAGCAAACATGAGCTTTCCCGTAACACTGCTTTGTTCAAGGAAGTTGTCAAAGTTTAATGGTAGATGGGGATGTTTGTCTATCATTTATCAGTAGTAATAGCATATTTGCTTTAGGCTGAGTATGTAAGATAATATTCTCTTGATCTTAAGTTTGGTAAGAAAGGATTAGGGAAACTTGAGAAAGTAGTACATCAGGAGTATTTGTTCTCCTAATTCTTCCACCATGATACTGCCATCACTCAAACATTTATTTCAGGTCAATTTGAGCGTGTGACTTCTTTTGCCTCCAAACCATCCAAAATTGCACCTAGAAATTCAGTAGATTAGTTTGCCAAGCAGCCAATCTACAAATCTCCCGAAAAGCTCTAAAAAGAGAGAAAATATATACTGAAAATTGGCCAAAATGGCAGCTTGAGGTGACATCACATCATTTCAGGTGCACCAAATTGCACTGGTGCGGCACAATGGGCGAGCAGAGCACAGGTGTCACTACCTGCACGATCTAGCTAGCAATGTAGGCCACTCACAAAAGTCCTTTGGATTTGGTTTTATTACTCAGATCTCTACAGCTCAAGAAAAAAAAGATGCTAGTGACATTTTTGGCCAAGTCCCCTGCTTCACTATGTGTAGTCTGACATGGTGGTTGTGAGAGTGGTCCAGCATTTCTGTGTTCTCAAATAATATGCTGTGTCCAGGTTGGTTCATTAGCCCAAACACGAATCAAGGAACATGAAAGGCACTGCAGACTACTTCAACCAGAGAAGTCAGCCATAGCAGAGCACCTGATGAACCAACCTGGACACAGCATATTATTTGAGAACACAGAAATGCTGGACCACTCTAACAACCACCATGTCAGACTACACAGAGAAGTCATTGAAATCCACAAGCATGTGGACAATTTCAACAGAAAGGAAGAAACCATGAAAATGAACAAAATCTGGCTACCAGTATTAAAAAGCTCTAAAATTACAACAGCAAAACAACAGAGAGGAAACAATCAGGGACATCTAATCACCTCTCAACAAAAGATTGCTCCAGGCACTGCCAGGCCATCAAATGCTAATCAAGGTGGTCAGTTGAAACATTCACACCTAGCTCCAGCAGACAAGAGTCCTTTGTCCCACCCTGGTCATTCCACAGATATATAAACCCTTTTCCCTAGTTCCAACAGACCTCACTACCTCTGAGGATGCTTGCCATAGATGCAGATGAAACGTCAGGAGAGAATGGCCATATAGCCCAAAAAAACCTACAACAACCCAAATAAATTGTTACCCATTTAAAAAGATAATGGAGCCTGAAGAAGAGCCAAGGGCTTCAAAAACAGCAATAATGACCCACAGACTGCATTTTACCTATCCGGGTTCAGAGATAGGGGTTTATCCCACTAATCCTAACAACTCAAATGATTGCTGGAGAGAGCCTGAGGATGAGTGAAATGGTGAAACTGAAGGGAAGGGAAGCCCTAAAACTGAAGGGAAGGGAAGCATGGGAAGCCCGCCCATTGCTGCCAATGGGATGAAAATCAGGCGACCAAACTGTTACTGTTCCCCCTTTCCTTTTCTTTCACTGATATTTCCATACCAGAGGGGGTGTACCATTTCATGCCATCTGAATGGACAGTATGAAATGGAAACATGAAATAAACAGATGACACAAATACTGGGCCCAAGACTCCTGGAGAGAGAGATATTTTAAAGTTCCATCCTGATCAAGAAGACTGTACCAGGAACTAAATTCCTGTTTTGTTCAAATAATTCCCTTTCTAATAGCAGTTAACCTGATAGCATCAGTTTCGGGAACTGCATGCGTTTCTGTCATACTGCATTGAAGTTTTTGTTCTGAAACCAAGAAGGGTCTGTAAGTACTCATTGACCCAAACTTGTGCAAAGTTCTCTGTACGCCAGGGGCGTTTTGACATGTTAATCATTTTCCATTCCTGCTTATGAGCAAGGAGGGAGTTCTTTACTAATTTGCTTCTTGAAGGAAGCAATGTCGTTTTAGCAAATTTCCTCATACTGTAAGGATTTTACAAAAGCTATGCAGTTTTTAAAACCTACTCACAATTTAGGACATATCTTGCACAAAATTTGCAGATGGTTGTTTTCTATAGAAAATGGCATTTCTGTATAAGAAATGGGATTATTTTCTGCACAGAAATGGTTCCCCATGTTAGACCACACCTGGAATATTGTGTCCAATTCTGGGCACCACAATTCAAGAGAGATATTGAGAAGCTGGAATGTGTCCAGAGGAGGGCGACTAAAATGATCAAGGGTCTGGAGAACAAGCCCTATGAGGAGCGGCTTAAGGAGCTGGGCATGTTTAGCCTGAAGAAGAGAAGGCTGAGAGGAGATACGATAGCCATGTATAAATATGTGAGAGGAAGCCATAGGGAGGAGGGAGCAAGCTTGTTTTCTGCTTCCTTGGAGACTAGGATGCAGAACAATGGCTTCAAACTACAAGAAAGGAGATTCCATCTGAACACGAGGAGGAACTTCCTGACTGTGAGAGCTGTTCAGCAGTGGAACTCTCTGCCCCGGAGTGTGGTGGAGGCTCCTTCTTTGGAAGTTTTTAAACAGAAGCTGGATGGCAACTGTCAGGGGTGATTTGAATGCAATATTCCTGCTTCTTGGAAGGGGGTTGGACTGGATGGCCCATGAGGTCTCTTCCAACTCTTTGATTCTATGATTTCTCAACCTTAAAACATGATAATACAATTTAAAATATAATCCTATGGGGATTCTGTGCAGGGTGGGTCCTGAATTATGACAAACTTTCGAAAACTTCACTCAACCTCCTGTTCTATGAAAAATGTTGAAAAGAGGAAACAAGCTTGGGAATAATCTCGTTTCTATATCTTTGGGCCCTTCCAGACATGCCCAAATCCTAAAAGGAACTGGGATTTTATGACGTGTCAGAGCTTTCTCTGTGGGGCCTGAGGATACAGCCAAGCCCCTCTGGTAAGTCTAGAGGGAAAATGGGGGGCTGCAAGGGGAGGATGGGAGTGACATCTCAGGCTCTTAGAGCTCGAAAACTGGGATGGTAATGGTGACTGACTTCTGGAATTGCAGAAGGTGGTCTCAAGAGTCAATCCCCATAGGCACAACATTCTAATTTTGCAGTAAAGTCTGGATATTTCCAGGTATTTCTTTAATCCAGAGGAAACTGGGAAATCCCAGTTTAGTCCAGATTAATTGGGATTAACCTGAGGCATCATTTGGATGCCAAAGGTTAATCTGCAACCCATCACAGTTTATGTGGAAGAGCCCTTCTAGACCTTGACTTGATCTTAAACTGATTGCCGCTACTCTCATTCCTTGTACTAATTGCCAATTATAATTCATGGGATTAAATTAAACACGATAGTTTCACATTGATTTAATAAGCGATCTTTTTTTGATGGTTCAGCAGATTTATTCCACAAAAGTCAAAGTTATACTGCTATCTTTGAGCAACATCTTCTTTGGAAATGGCAAGGCATATCCAGGATAACGCCCGATGGACAAGTGTCATTGGGTAGCCGCAGACAAAATCCACCAAGAGAACTGCAGGTAAGGAGCATGGCTTCCACTGGGATCTCCCCTGTATAGAGAATAGAAACAACAAAGACTCATTGAGATGCCTATTATTCTGAACAATATGTGCTGGCACTTATTCTTCAATACCACGTTTTGCCCCATTTATATTCTGGGAAATTTCTGTCTCGAAAACTCCAACCTGTGTGGTCTACAGCCATATAAAAAGGACCTGAAGGAGGGTTTGCATGCAAACAGACACCCCCATCTACACTGCTATATACTTCCAAAAATGCAGGGTTTGTTTTTGTTTTTTCTTGTAAACTTAATTCAACTGCATCCTATGACAGTGTAGACTCATATAATGCAGTTCAATACAGTTACACTGCATTATGAAACTGCATCACATGGAAATGTAGATGGGGCCAGAGAGGACATGATAAGAGGAAGGAAGAGTGATGGAAATATGGATTATACAACAAGCTGTTTCAGCTGCATGTGCATAGATTACAATTATGTATGGAGGATTTGTTGCATGAGCTTCCTCCACAGAATTCTGGGAATACAAGAATGCACACACACGTAGCAAACAACGGTAGGGATCTACAAACTCTTAGAACAATGATTTTCAAATATTATATTTTAGAGTAGCATAAAGATCCAGACATCTGGAAAAATCTTCCCCTACTTCAAGAAACAATTGTTGAGTGCTGCACCCACGAAAGCTGATCTGCCAAGTCAATGTAAGCAAGTTTTAAGATGGAGTGGGTTGAAAATCACAGTTGGATGCAAGTTAGATCCCATCTCCCTGTCCTTTATTGAAAACATTTCATACAATTCTGTAACAACTAGGTATGTAGGAGAGATAGAACCACCACCAACTCAGATTTGTGTAGATTTGGTATGTATTTACAATGTTTGGTATGTATTTACAAAGCTTTTACGTGCTTTTTTTTGTATTTGTATTTGTTGTCCTAGAAGACCAGCCAACATCAGTCATTAGTAGGATCATATGTCTATCAGTCCATATGAAAGCTTGCTTTCTTCAGAGTTGTTGTTGTTCATTCGTTCAGTCATTTCCGACTCTTCGTGACCTCATGGACCAGCCCACGCCAGAGCTCCCTGTCAGCCGTCACCAGCCCCAGCTCCTTCAAGGTCAATCCAGTGACTTCAAGGATGCCATCCATCTTGTCATTGGTCAGCCCCTCTTCCTTTTTCCTTCCATTTTCCACAGCATAATTGTCTTCTCTAGGCTTTCCTGTCTCCTCATGATGTGGCCAAAGTACTTCATCTTTGCCTCTACTATCCTTCCCTCCAATGAGCAGTCAGGCTTTATTTCCTGGAGGATGGACTGGTTGGATCTTCTGGCAGTCCAAGGCACTCTCAGAACTTTCCTCCGACACCACAGTTCAAAAGCATCTATCTTCCTTTTCTTCAGAGTTGGAAAAGGAAAATTCTTAAATCAGAAGACATGCCCTTTATGAATTTACAGAAATCATGCTTTATGACCACATCACCTGCCCTTCCTTTCCATTTGAATGTCTGTGGTCTCCAATACCTTCAGCTATGAAGAAAGATTCCAAATGATCCTCTGAAGAACTTTTCTGGAGCATCGCATTCCAATTTTCCCAATCACTAGTCACTCTGCCTTCGTGTTTCTGTGAGTTGGCTCCAAACAAAAAGAACTGAGCTCTACTCTGCTGCCAAATAGATAGGAAGTGGTTGTTTAGTTTGTTGGTTGATTATGAAAGCTGGAACTCAAGAGTGTAGATTGCCTTCAGAGTGGGCTCCAAGTTTTACAGGAAATTGTAGTTGAAGACCATGGCATGAACTATGTTGTTTATTTGTAACTAAAACAGATCCACTAACTCAATTTTGGAATTGTGAGTGTATACATGAGTATCGATACATCTTATTGGTTTCATTGGTCAGCTGTTATAACCTATTGAATATAATGAGACAACATGATTCATTGGAAAAAGAGTATAATATTCAGTAAAATGTAAGAAAGCAAAATAAGAGGAAGATCTGAAAGGATTGGCTCAGTCAAGGAACCTTGGCCCACCATTTTGATGAGCAGATACTGGTGTTTTAAGATGAACCCATGTGTATGACTGTTGTTGTTGTTCATTTGTTCAGTCGTCTCCGACTCTTCGTGACCTCATGGACCAGCCCACGCCAGAGCTCCCTGTCGGCCGTCACCACCTCCAGCTCCTTCAAGGTCAGTCCAGTCACTTCAAGGATGCCATCCATTCATCTTGCCCTTGGTCGGCCCCTCTTCCTTTTGCCTTTTGTGTATGACTAGTTCCAAATAATTTTTAGGTCTATCATGGTGAGGACAACGTTTTCCTGACGTCTTTCTACGGTGTCTTGGAAGGATTGGAAGGAAATAATTTCCAAAAGTAGATATATGGGCATTGTACCATCAAAAATGTCAAGCTCCTTGTCACTCACCTTGACAGAACATTTTGACCAACTCTATATGGTGTCTGTCTCTCCACATACACCCAAACAAATCCCCAAATTGTGTAACATTGTTTTTCCCTCACTCTCATTTTGTGGAATTTTCAACTTGTAAGAGGCCAGCATAATATAGTACAGGTTGAGTATCTCTTCTCCGAAATCCATGGAACCAAAAGTGTTTGTTATTTTGGCTTTCCCCCCAGATATGTTGGAGAAGTAACCCATGGCTAAATATAAAATTTACTTGTGCTTCATATATTTCTTAAAAATATAACCTTAAGGTAATTGTATGCAAAAAAAATATATGTGTGTGTATGCATTGCACCATAGAAAGAAATGTTGTCATTATCTCAACCACCCATTTGGACAATTATGGATTTTCACATAAGCGGTGATCAACCTATATCTCAATATCACAAGACTCACTTCCCACCATGAATGAGTTTGTTCATCACTTACCTTGAAAACCCAGGAACAAGAAGAAGATAACAGCAAAGAGACAATGAAGGATCTTCATGATCAATGTTTATTCAGTATAGTACTATTCTTGTGAAGAAGATGCCCCAAGAAGAGAAAAACCTGGGTTAGAAACAAAGGATCAGAGGAAGAATGTATTAAGCTTTTAAAGATTCAAGTGCACAAAATCCTTCCACTTCATCACAGGCATGAATATCTACTGAAATTCTAGTGAGCCATCCACTTAAGGCACTGCAACCTACTGCGTTCATCACATGGCTTTGGTTTCAAATGTAAGGAAGAGCATTCTTCCCGTTTCTAAAGAATTTCAAATATTATTTCCTATGCTTCCTGAGCTGGTTGACAAGTGACTTTTTGGTGAATTATTTGGATAGAGATGGACAAAATGGCCAATTCTGTCATGTGATTGCATTCGTTGTTCTCAGCTTTAAAATTATATGTTTACCTAATTTGTGAAAGGAGCCAAACTGCCCCTTTTGAGAACACATATCTTAAGCTCTGCCATTACCCAGGAGGGAGGATTTGCAGTGAGTTCCTTCTTTGTGTTTTCACTCAGCTAAAATGCTTGAGTCTTCTGTCCTCCTTCCCCCATTTCCCTTACAACTAAGCTGCCTATCTAGATATCCCTCCCTCCCTCTTTCATTTCCTCCTCTCCTTTTTATTTCCTTTCCCTTCTTCCATTTCCTTCTTTCCCTCCCTTCTCCCTCTCTCTCCCCTTCCTTCCTTCCTTCCTTTCTTTCTTCCCTTCTTCCTTACCTAAGGTTGCCTCTTTCTCCTGCCCTCTTCCCCCTCCTTTTCTCAAGATGGAAAGCTTGCAACTCACAAAGCCCCCTGCCCCCATCCAGAAGGAAAACTGCTCTGAGTCCCCTCCAGCAGAGAGGGTGGTCTATAAATAAAGTATTTATAAGGGGTGGGGGGAGGAGAAAAAGAAAGGAAGGAGACCAGGTTGACCATGGCTGACCTCCTCCTCCTCCTCCTCCTTTGTGGCCTGGTTCAGGTTGTGAGTTAACGGGGACTCTTTTTACTCTCCCTCCTCCTCTCCTCTCCTCTCCTCTCCTCTCCTCTCCTGCCCTCCCTCCCTCCCTCCCTCCCTCCCTCCCTTCCTTCCTTCCTTCCTTCCTTCTTCCAATATGGGAAAGGAGAGAGAGAGAGAGAAAGGAGGAGGAGGATTGCTGGAATGGCAGGGATTGCTATAGCAGGATGTCTCTCCTGCAAAGGCAAAGTTTTTGCAGTTTAAAAACATTTTTCCATGTGTTTATGATAGAACCAATTAGGAAATGACATTTATAACCCAGGAACAAAAAACATATTCCAGGAGAGAAGGTGATAACTCTGTGCCAAAACAGTCCAAAAATGGAACAAAATGCACACATACACTGCTCGTATAATCTATACCATTTTCAAAAAATGTTTATGAAATGTCGGTATTTTTACAAAGGAATAGATATAACTCTATTATTTATTTATTTATTATTTATTTACTTCTTTTGTATACCGCATTTATCAGCCTTCTGGCGACTCAATGCGGTTTACACTAAAAACACATAGACAATATATAACAGACATTCACAGACAACACACATATCGTCATCAACGCCTCAAATAGAATCAGATCCCGTTCTCACCGTCGTTTTTCCGTTCCTTGTTCAGTACACCGTCTTCCTGAGTTAGTTGTAGTTGCATGATTAACTGAACGCCTGTTCAAAGAGCCATGTCTTCACCCTCCTCCGAAACACCAGTAACGAAGGGGCCTGCCTGATGTCCGCTGGTAGGGCATTCCATAGCCGAGGGGCCACCACCGAGAAGGCCCTGTCTCTCGTCCCCGCCAACCGCACTTGTGATGCTGGCGGGACCGAGAGCAGGGCCTCCCCGGACGATCTTAACGTCCTAGCCGGTTCATAGGTGGAGATGCGTTCGGAGAGGTAAGTGGGGCCGGAACCGTGTAGGGCTTTATAGGCTAAAGCCAGCACCTTGAATTGTGCCCGGTAGCAAATTGGCAGCCAGTGGAGCTGGCTCAACAGAGGAGTAGTGTGCTCCCTGAGTGCCGCTCCCGTTAGCAACCTGGCTGCCGAGCGCTGGACCATCTGGAGCTTCCGGGCAGTCTTCAAGGGCAACCCCACGTAGAGCGCGTTGCAGTAATCTATGCGGGATGTGACAAGAGCGTGGACTACCGTGGCCAAGTCCGACTTCCCAAGATACGGGCGCAGCTGGCGCACGAGCCGAAGCTGTGCAAATGCTCCTCTGGAAACCGCTGAAACTTGGGGTTCCAAGCTTAGCGAAGAATCCAGAGTCACACCCAAGCTGCGAACCTGCGCCTTCAGGGGGAGTGCGACCCCGTCCAGCACAGGCTGTAACCCTATACCCTGTTCGGCCTTCCGACTGACCAGGAGTACCTCTGTCTTGTCTGGATTGAGTTTCAATTTGTTCACCCTCATCCAGTCCGACACAGCGGCCAAGCACCGGTTCAGGACCAGGACAGCCTCCTTAGTAGTAGGTGGAAAGGAGTGACAGAGTTGGACATCATCTGCGTACAGATAACACCGCACCCCGAAACTCCGGATGATCTCTCCCAACGGCTTCATGTAGATGTTAAACAACATGGGGGACAAGATGGAACCCTGCGGGACCCCACAAGTCAATGGTTGTGAGGACGAGCAGTTGTCCCCCAACAACACCTTCTGGGTACGATCCTCTAGGAAGGACCTGAGCCACTGTAAAACAGTGCCCCCCAAGCCCATTCCCACGAGGCGCCCCAGAAGGATACCGTGGTCGACGGTATCGAAGGCCGCTGAGAGGTCCAGCAGAACCAACAGGGACACACTCCCCCTGTCAAGCTCACGCCGGAGATCATCCACTAAGGCGACCAAGGCTGTCTCGGTACCATGTCCCCGGCCTAAAGCCAGACTGCGCCGGATCCAGATAATCAGTGTCTACCAAGAATGCTTGGAGTTGTGAGGCCACCACACGTTCCAGGACTTTGCCCAAAAAGGGGAGATTGGAAACAGGCCGATAGTTGACGAATTGAGTGGGGTCCAGTGATGGTTTCTTCAACAGCGGTTTTATTACAGCTTGTTTTAAGCTGGCTGGAATTTGCCTTCCCGAAGGGAGGCATTAACCACCACCTTCACCCACTCGGCCAATCCCCCTCTGGCCTCCTTTAGAAGCCAGGATGGGCAGGGGTCTAGGATGCATGTGGTTGCCCTCATCCCTCCAAGCACCTTGTCCACATCCTCAGGTTTCACCAATTGAAACGAATCCAACAAAATCGGACAGACAGGTGTTCTCGTCACATCCTCAGAGACCGCCGTTAACATGGCGTCCAGGCCCGAACGGATCAAAGCGACTTTGTCCGCAAAGAACCGAGAAAATGCTTCACAGCGGGCCGTCGAGTTGTCAGGGCTCCCATCCGGAATGGTGGGCTTTAATAGGCCTCTGACAACCCGAAACAGCTCCGCCGGACGGTTCTTTGTGGACGCAATATTGGCCGCAAAGAAGGATTTCTTTGCCGCCTTTATTGCCACGGCATATGCCCTTAATAGGGCAACAAACCGTGCTCGGTTTGACTCGCTCGGATCCGAACGCCACACACGCTCTAGTCTCCTCTTCTTTCGCTTCATTGCTGCCAGCTCCTCGTTGAACCAAGGGGCTGGTTTAGCTCGGCTACTAGAGAGGGGACGTTCCGGAGCGATCGTGTCTATTGCCCTGGCCATCTCCCCATTCCAGAGAGTCACCAGGGCATCAACAGGATCACCAACCGAGGCGGCGGGAAACTCCCCAAGAGCCGTCAGGAATCCATCCGGATCCATAAGCCTCCTGGGGCGGACCATCTTAATGGGTCCCCCACCTCTGCAGAGGTTTGGAGGTGCAGTAAGTCTAAAGCTGATCAGATGATGGTCGGTCCATGGCAACGGAGAGATGGATAACTCCTCAACCCCACCATCTTGCTCCCATCCCTGACAGAAAACCAAATCTAATGTGTGTCCAGCACTGTGGGTGGGGCCAGTTACTCGTTGGGACAGCCCCATGGTTGCTATGGAAGACATGAAGTCCTGAGCCGCTCCCACTAGGGCAGTCTCGGCGTGTACATTGAAGTCCCCCAGCACAAGAAGCCGTTGGGACTCCAGTGACAGCTCGAGACTACCCCTGCTAGCTCAGGTAAGGAGACTGTAGTGCAGCGAGGTGGGCGGTACACTAGCAGAATCCCTATTCTGTCCTGGTCACCCACCCTCAGGTAGACACATTCAAAATTAGTTGACTGTGGGATGGGGCTTCTGGTCAGCGAGATAGAATTTTTATAGACTACTGCCACCCCTCCTCCCCGCCCTCCAGGTCTCGATTGGTGCTGTACGGAGAAACCTGGTGGACAAAGCTGGGTTAAATTAACTCCTCCAGCTTCGTCCAGCCAGGTCTCCGTAATGCACGCCAGATCTGCCCGTTCTTCCAGGATTAAATCCTGGATAAAAGATGTTTTGCCGTTAACAGATCTGGCGTTCAACAGCACCATCTTCAACCCGGAGGGACCGCCAGCCTGGGTACACCCACTTAACCTGTCAGGAGACCAATTACACATTATTAAATTTTTCTGGTTTCTTTTTTCTTTTTTAAGCCGAATTTGAGTTGATGATTTTTTATTTCTTTGGAGCTGAATTGATGGCCGAATTGATGGTCTCCCCTTCCCGCATCTCCCCCTCCCCATTATGGTTTCTATGGGGGCCCCCCGGCCAATGGAATGCTCCTCATCATCCATATTGCATCTCAGAATTGCAACCTCATCCCATGGGGCCCTCTGAATTATTTCCTTCGTTGATTTCTCTTTCTGCCATCCTAATTCCTTCCAGTTGTTTCTTGACCTTACATTGCTATTTCTAAGATCTTCCCACCCACTCCGCCCTCTCTCCCCTTCGCTGTTTGCTAGCAATGTTATTAGCAAATACCACAAAATGAGGGTCGACATGGGTGTTCACGAACAGCAATGATAAAGTGCAGATAATAAAGTGCAATTTTTTTAGCCAGAGTTAATAATTGCTTGGAGGATTAAGGTGCTGTAATATCAAAGAGGGATTAAAGTGCATTAGTTCTTAAAGTGCACAATTTCTAAAGTGCAAAATGCTCTCAAACTCAATAATTAAGTGCAATTGGATGGAAATTGGCAGTATTGGGTGAGACGGCTCTAATTCCTATGATGACAATGTCGCGGCAATGCAGTTCTCAGTAATTATTAAGTCCAGTTCTTATACTTAATTCCCCCCCCCCCAGTACAACAGACTTGGGCTGAAGGGCCGAGGGGTATGGGTATAAACCCCCCAAAAGACGGCTGTTGTAACCCCAACAAGGAATGTTAGGTGAGAGTGGCCATTATGGCTCCAAGACTGATAGTTAGTTAGATAGTTAACTCTAACATAGCAGGAATGAACTAGTTTGTATTTATACATCCACTGGCTCCCAATTTGCTACCAGGCACAATTTAAAGAGCTGGCTTTAGCCTATAAAGCCCTAAACGGTTCCGTCCCAACTTACCTATCCGAATGCATCTCTCCCTATGAACCCTCTAGGAACTTGAGATCATCTGAGGAGACCCTGCTCTCAATCCCGCCTGCTTTACAGGCGCATTTGGTGGGGATGAGAGACAGGACCTTCTCAGTGGTGGCCTCTCAACTGTGGAACTCCCTTCCTGGGGATATTAGATCAGCCCCCTCCCCCCTGACCTTTAGGAAAAGAGTGAAAACCTGGCTCTTCGAGCAAGCTTTTGGAACCTCATTGTATTGTGAACGAATATGGAATGGCTTAACTATGCAAATGGACATGGATTTTAACTCAGAAGTCATTGATTTTTTATAGTTTTAAACAGTTTTATTTTGAATTTTATTACGTGATTTAATGTTTTAAATGATGTATATGTGTGTGTTCGGCATCTAATTGTTGCCAGTTTGTACGTCGCCCTGAGTCGCCTTCGGGCTGAAAAGGGCAGGATAAAAGTGTGGTAAATAAATAAAGAATCAATACCTGCACAATAGTGACAATCAATAATACATTGCAAGCATGAAAAGCCTTTCTGTAGCTGAATAGCAAGGAAGGGTCATTGCTATTTTTCTGCCTCCATTCAGATATACAGCACAATCTCTATATCCACGGGTTACACATTTTCAGATCGTGCGTGGATACACAAATTGTAAATAATAGTAAATCTTACAAATTAAAGACTTCCAGACCAATAATACCTTTGAGTAATACTAAAAGATCTAGAAAATGCCAAGCAAAGGCATATTTGCTGGATGTGGATAAATGAAACCATGGATATTGGTTCTGTTGTACTTTAATAGTCACAATTAATGGTGTAAACACCCTCTCCATATCTCTACTGCTTTCCTGAAAAACCAGCTCTTTGAATTAATCTTTAGATTTTATCACAAATTCTACAGTTTGCATGTGCCTGTGTGTGCATTTGGTTTTTGTTTTGATGTAGGTTTTTGATTAGTTACAGTAGCTAGAATGTAGCATTACATATTGCAAAATCTTGTTTCTATTATTGTTGCCTTTCTATTATACTTTCTTGAATGAAAAAAAATACTTACATATCAAAAAGACTTCATCACCATATTATGGTTTCAGTATCATAAGGGTGATGTGTATATGTTTTTTGAAAATTCAATTTATCAAAGGAAATTGTGGAAAATGGGAATCATTTCTGCCTAATCTTCTCCCCCTGTCAGTCTGAATTCTCTCCTATATGCTCCCGCTTTGCCAGAATAAAACAAAACAAAACAAAACCTATGCATTCCTTACCTTTGTGTTCAGTCAAGGACAGCAAACCAGCTGTGAGGAAAATCTCAAGGACATGTGGATTGATTGTCTGACTCAAAACAAGAACTGACTGCCTCTAGCAAGGTTAGCAACATCATTTCCTGACAGAATCATGGGGGCTGTAGTTTTCCCATCCTTTTGCATTCAGGCAGCAGAGCAGAAAACTGCAAAGTCAACGATCCCACAAGGAAATGTTTTAGTATTTCATTTTTCCCATACCTAGTCTGATTACAGCTTGGTTGGACTGGATGACCCTTGAGGTCTCTTCCAACTCTGTGATTCTATGATTTCTCTCTGTGACTAATTATTGCTCTCCTTTCCTTTACGAAGAGATTCTGCAAAATGACAGTGAATATTGGTAGGTTTGCATGATCTATTTTGAGTTGAGAGTTCTCATGCTTCACTAATCTACACACTCCAGGATTTGATAGGAATCTGCTGCCATGGTAGCAGAAGTGACGTCATAATGCTGTTGTACTGTAAAGTTGGCTTCCATATCCATATTTTGCATCCATGGATTCAAACATCCACAGCTTGAAAATATTCAAAGAAATCCCCAAAAGAAAATCTTGATTTTGTGGTTTTATAAAAAGGATACAGTTTACTACACTATTATAAATAACTAGCCGTCCCCTGCCACGCGTTGCTGTCACCCAGTCTGGTGATCTGGAAAATAAAGTAATGAGAAGTGTTGGTTTCTAATATATGTAATGTCTTTATGCTTGTGGGTCAACAGTATTTTTTGTTGTTTCTTTATCAGTGTTGATGTGGAGATTGTCTAGTTTGCCTACTCTGGAACATGCAACATATCATTGTCCTTCTTTAGGGGTCCTTTTCAAATCTTTGATACTGCATCTGTCATATACATATATGTGTGTGTGTGAATGGCTGGATGGCCCTTTGTCAGGAGGGCTTTGATTATGTTTTCTTGCCCTGGTGAAGGGAGTTGGACTGGATGGCCTTAAGGCAGCATTTCTCAACCTGGGAAGTCAAGACCCCGGGGGGGGGGGTCACCAGGGGGTGTCAGAAGGGTCACCAAAGACCACCAGAAAACACAGTATTTTCTGTTGGTCATGGGGGTTCTGTGTGGGATGTTTGGCCCAATTCCATCGTTGGTGGGGTTCGGAATGCTCTTTGATTGTAGGTGAACTATACATCCTAGTAACTACAACTCCCAAATGTCAAGGTCTATCCCTCCCCCCAACTCCATCTGTGTTCACATTTGGGCATATTGAGTATTCCTGTCAAGTTTGGTCCAGATCCATCATTGTTTGAGTCCACAGTGTTCTCTGGATGGAGGTGAACTACAATTCCAAAATTCAAGGTCAATGCCCACCAAACCCTTCTAGTGTTTTCTGTTGGTCAGGGGAGTCCTGTGTGCCAAGTTTGGTTCAATTCCATCATTGGTGGAGTTCAGAATGCTCTTTGATTATAGGTGAACTATAAATCCCAGCAACTACAACTCCCAAATGACAAAATCATAATTTTTTGAGTGATGGTCACTCCTTGTGTTGTGAGACGTTTTGTTGCCAAATTTGGTGTGATTTCATTCATTGGTTCTTTTGTTTTTAAGGTACTCATTATGCACAGAGCATTTTTATATATTTAGATAGATGGTGATGATGCAGCTAAATAAACACCCACGGAATAATTTGTTTCTCTGTGATTTGAGGTTTGCCAGACAGTTAAGAAAACAATCTCTAGGTTAGAGGACTTTATTTACATATAAATATCCTTTCCTTCTTTTATGTTAACTTTCTTGCTCTCTGGAAATGTATCTAATAAATATGCCTTCTGGGATTCTTCCATATTATGTAGTGCTGTCTTCACACAATTTATTTCTTTGCCAAACACAAACATTTTGCATAAATATACAAGGTAATGAATTCCTGTCCAAGTCTTCATCCTTTTGACAAAACACGACTTTAGGGATTTTTTTCCCCCATATTTTTTTTTCTCCATTCTACAGAACACCAAAATGAAAAGCTGAGAACTTATTTTGTTTTTATATCTGGAGAGTTTTTTTATTCAAAAATATACAGCAACAACATGGTTCAAGATGAACAAGGAATAACGATGTGGCGGCAAAAAAAGCCAATGGGATTTTGGCCTGCATCAATAGGAGCCTAGTGTCTAGATCTAGGAAAGTAATGCTACCCCTCTATTCCGCTTTGGTTAGACCACACCTGGAATATTGTGTCCAATTCTGGGCACCACAATTCAAGAGAGATATTGACAAGCTGGAATGTGTCCAGAGGAGGGCAACTAAAATTATCAAGGGTCTGGAGAACAAGCCCTATGAGGAGCGGCTTAAGGAGCTGGGCATGTTTAGCCTGAAGAAGAGAAGGCTGAGAGGAGATATGATAGCCATGTATAAATATGTGAGAGGAAGCCACAGGGAGGAGGGAGCAAGCTTGTTTTCTGCTTCCTTGGAGACTAGGACGCAATGGAACAATGGCTTCAAACTACAAAAGAGGAGATTCCATCTGAACATGAGGAAGAACTTCCTGACTGTGAGAGCCGTTCAGCAGTGGAACTCTCTGCCCCGGAGTGTGGTGGAGGCTCCTTCTTTGGAAGCTTTTAAACAGAGGCTGGATGGCCATCTGTCAGGGGTGAGTTGAATGCAATATTCCTGCTTCTTGGCAGAATGGGGTTGGACTGGATGGCCCAGGAGGTCTCTTCCAACTCTTTAATTCTATGATTCTATGAGTAGTTCTGTATAAATAGCAGGCTTGTCTGCATTGCTTATCTCCTGAATTCCATAACCACATTTTTAACCAGACATGTTAATTCCATGCTATAGCAATTTTTAAGAAACTGTTTTATTCTAGTAACCCTTTCACTTTGCACAATAATAGCACTATGATTTCACTTTGAGTCCCCTCAGGGAGATAGAGTGGAATATAAATAAAGTGTATTATTATTATTATTATTATTATTATTATTATTATTAGTTTAATATCTTCATTACCATGATTCCGTTCTATGTGATTCTGGAATTTGCAGTTTAGGAAGAGTACAACACGATTCCCCCATTTCAAAGTGGAACATATTCCAAGACTCACTCATCTCCCATAGAAACGTGAAACTGTGGATAATAGCGAAGCCTCTATTTTGGCTATAGGTGAGATGGAAGCATGTCATAGATTGGCACTGGAGGACCTACAAAGGCCTGCTAATACTTTGGGGTATGGGGAGAGTGGTGATATTTTTGGACTGTGGACAAATAAAATGGTGTTTATTAAGTCGATAGAAAGGGGGATAATGCTCTTTGTGCCCAGCGGGGAGCTGGGGTGCCACGGGTGAGAGGCCTTCAAGGATTTTCCCATACACAGTCTTTAGAAGGCTTGAAATGTTTAACAAAGTTCTTTATTATTGCTTAGGTCTTCAATAAAACAACAAACACTTCTTGGATCTTCAACAGATTAAACAAATGCTTCTTAACTTGCCCGAAAATGGACAGGCACCTTGCTTGGAGAAATATTTCTTTCTTTAACAAGGAAAACCCTTTTTTAACCCCTCCCAGGCAATCTACTGTCTAAGCTTTGCTGATGTGGGTTCTACTACTGGTTCCAATCTACATCTAGGGTCCCGAGTAGACCTATCAGTCAAGGCTATGTAGATTCTCCAGCTGGAGTTCTTTGGGTCTGTAAACTGTTTTCTTCCGAAACTTTAGGACTGTTTCCCTCAGATGCTATAATGCTGAGAGGCTGTAAGCTACCAGCCAGAACTTTGGGACTGTTTTTCTCTGGAAAACTTAGCTTAGCTTTCCACTATAAGACTGAACTAAAAATGGCTCCTTCTCTTCCCATGGCCCTGGGGAAAGAGGCGGAACCAAAACTTAACAATGATAGACAGGTGGCTAGCCCTATGATTGCAAACCAAGGGAAGCCACCTTGTTGCGAATGCATGGAACCTTGGAATATATGCAAACACTCAATAGAAAGAAAATGAAGTAGGAGCTCCTGGTACAGCCGTACCAGCACACTAAGTCTGCGACGAGTTGCAACCTACCAATATGAAGACAGTGAAGTGGTTCAGCCTGCATTTCTTCCATTGCCTGAGGTTTCAGTGAATAATGACCAAGATCCTGCAGACCCACAGGGGTCTGAAATGGGGATTTTGGACAGGAGAGTATTGAGGAGTCTGGGATGGTCAAACCTGCACGAGATGTGCCAATTCAGACAGAAAAAGAGGCTGACAGGCTTGTGTTAGCTTTCTCAAGGGAGTCAAGGTCAGAATGTGAAAAGAATGTTTTAATTGGGGATCCAGGGGAGGATGCCTCTTTCAATAGAAGGGGTCAGATTTGTCAACAGAGACATCTGGCTGGGGAGAGGCACCGCTCTCAAAGATTAATTGACAAAAGGGCTCCTCCCGAATTTTCTCAAGGGAAAAGGTGTGGGTTTTTTCTATATATGAAGGCAACTGAGATTGTGACTTCAGAGGAACAAACATTTGGTTTAGACAGCAATTCCTTTCTCGCATTCAAGTTTCTTGTGCCTTGAATTTGAATTCATGTTGATATTCCTGTAACTTTCCATTGTTCCTGTATTTTCATGTGTCTTGGTTTTGCTCTCCTGGATTATTTTGGAACCACAGACTTCTGTTACCTTTGGATCTTATCATGGTTTTTGGGCATTCCTGTTTCCTGAATGTGGTGTTTAGATTCTTGTTTTCCATGTTTAAGTGACTCTTATTATGGACAATACTCTATACTACTCTTGATCATTTTTTATCCTTTTGCTGAAGCTATTTTTATTCTTCAATATACTGCTTTGTTTCTACTGAACTTTGGTATGCGAGATTGGTTCAGAAGTGCCTTTCAGCCCTGGTGTGCCACAGACTGTCACATGATTCTCACTTGTGATTTAGGGTAGGATTAATGCAGTTTGATGCTCAGAGCTTCATGCAGTAGAATTATAGAAGTATAGTTTTACAAGGTATTTAGCTTTTACTGCCAAAGAGTGCAGATTCCTTGCCAAACTACAAATCCCTGGATTTTGTAGTATTGAACCTATGGCAGTTAAAGTGGCGTCAAATTGCATCGATTCTACAGTTCCCCCAGGTTAAAGCACATTAGCCTATGTGCGTCATGAGGATGTATCAGGCTAATTCATTTCCTACACTGGATTAAATGGCAGTGAAGATCCAGCTTTAGGATACATTCACACTGTATAAGTTATGCACTTTGACACTTTAGCTGTCATTGCTCAATACTATGGAATTATAGGAGTTATAGGCATGCTTGGGAAGAGAAGGCCAAACACCTTACAAGATTATAGCTCTCAGGATCCCATAACATTAAGTCTGGCATTTAAAGTGGTGCAAACTGCA